TACTTTATTTTCTGACTGGAGAGCTTTTTTGAAAAAAACCTCAATCAAAGTACAATACGTTGGAGTTTTTGTCTAATAAAGTGGTTTTTCACTTGAAACAATTGAAATATTGACAGGGAAATCTTTTTAATTGTATTACATTTTTCCAGTTTTTAACACAAAAGTTAGACAACTTGCCAATCACCAGTGCTGTTAAGAATATAGTTGCCTATAAAAAAGTAAAGAAGTTATTTAATTCTTTATAAAAGTATAAAGCAATGGCGTCTCTGTAAAAATTGTTCGGGCAGCAAAATTATACGTCTTTTTATTATAACCTAGTAGGTGTTTCGGTTGCTTTAATTTTATCAGTGGTTCAGTTTTTATTACGCAATTTTAGTAATAAGTAATAATTTTATCATAGATAATTGTACGTATTTTCTTAGTGTATGTAGTAAATTTAAAATTTAATAACGCATGCTTTTTCCTTTCAGGTGAGTACCTTTTTTCATTCAAAATATTAGAAGAGTTGGGTAAGTTTGCTTTATTAAGTTGTGATAGTTCATATATCTACGAATTTGGTAATATAATAAATAACAACAATGCTATTTGCAATTATTTAGGTACGTCTAATTATCGATAATAAATGCCTACCTAACAATAGTGTTGTCAGTTTGCAAGTATGTTTATTTACTCTTAATAATTATGGCATTTGTTTGCTAAAAACGGGAAAAAGCAATGTTGTCGTATACAGGATGGCCCAAAAAGTACGCAGTTTGCTCATTGTATCTAAACCATACTTTTAATCGAAAAATTTCTTACAAAATTTGTTCCCTGCTTTTTTATAGGATATCTTATAGATAGCATCCAAATTTGCTCACCATACAGTGTTCAAAAATAGAAAAAATAAGTTTCGTTTAAATGATATCACAATTAAATATGGGTTCTTTTTTATGGTTCCGTACGTCCGAATGAAAAACGGAACCCCTATAGGATCACTTGTGCGTCTGTCTCTCCATCTATTTTGCTCCGAATCTACTGAATAGATTAAGTTGAAATTTAGTACACATATGAATTTCTTTGACCCAAACATGGACGCATAACGTAAATAAATTAATTTTGAACGTGGGGGCCAATAGGAAATTAAAGAAAAAAGGGTTTTGTAAACTGTGACATATCAAATGAAAGGGCTTGTTGTGATGGTCTCATATATATTTTTTCTTTAATTTTAAAATAAATAGTTTTAAAGTTATATAAGAAAATAGATGAAAATCTCAGAAACTACTGAACTTAAAATTTAGAAAAAAGTACAGAAAATTCTTTAGTTATAGATTACAAGAAAACTAATAAGAAGTCTGTAGTCTGAATATAACGTGGTAAATCTTTCAACAAAGCAATATTGTGCATACAAATTTACATTTCAGTTTAAATGTATGGGAGAACATTTTTTTTTCGACTACAATCTTAAGTTGGTTCTCGGGTTAGGGTTTCGAATGTTCGAATGAAAAAGGGAACCTTTATAGGGTCACACATGTATCGATCCGTGTTTTTGGATTTTTATCCGGACTAGAAATAACTCATTATCGTTACTTTTGGATTAACCCTCGTAAATAGATCAAAAACGAATCTTGCCTTTACCGGGACAAATTAAAAAGTATTAAGAGAAGAAACGCTTTGTGGGAGTATTTCCGTCCTCGTAAAACTTTGGAGCATTGTAAAGTTAAAGATAGTAACTGATTTCGTCTATTGCAGATGTCGAATAATAATGAAGATATGCGGCATCTGGAGAAACATAAATTTAAATAAATAATTGTCATATTCATCGGCATTTGCTCATTTTGCGCGGAACAGATCGGGATCTACTTAATAATTTCTGCATTCGTCCGAATTCAAATAAAGAATTTTCATCGATACCGAAACTATGTTACGATGAAGGATAAGTAGGTCCAAAACGTCTTTCGACATCACATTCTTTCTCCCTTTTCAATCGCATGCATTAAAGTCAACTTTCTTGTTCACACAAATTCATTCTATTCATTCTTCAGTACAGTATATGGGTTGCAATACAGTCTAACTAAGCTCGACTGATGTCTGCGTTGCAGGAAGTTTTTTTTAATAAATAGTTTCCTTAAAAAGGTTGCGTATTAGAAGAGTAAAAAATATCAAGATGGGAGGAGAAACATTCCCTCTCCATCGTACTGATGTAGTAAGATACTCTCAAATTACACTTTCAACGAAATTATGCAAGTCGATATAACTGAATAAGATTTTGGCAGACGTTATAAAAACCACCGATTCTTGTGCTTTAAAGCGAATGATTAATAAGGGATTTAAAGGTGTGACAAATTAAAAATGATTATAATGAGTGCTGCTGCATGTCTGCATCATCATCATCATCATCATAAGGTCCTAAGTCCTCAGACGCACCTCCACTCCTTCCTGTCCTGAGCTAATCTTCGAATTCCCTAAAACTAGAAAAAAAAGGAAAAAAAACTTTTGGGTGTTTCCCACCAGCCAGTAATGCTGGTGGGCGGACAGTCCCTCCGGACTACGCCGGAAGGTAGGACAGAACGCCCTCTTCAGCCTGCTTTCAGGAATCGTGGAAATGGGTGGGTGGTGGTTCGGGTGAGAAAGTTGAGACGGACGAAATGAAGACAGAAGAGAATGAAAGATTATCTGTGGAATATTGCTGCCCCAGCATTTGACCAAGTGATCCAAGGAAACCATAGAAAACTTGGACCAAGGCAGACGGACCCGGAATCGAACCGGCGTCCTCCCGAATGCTAAGCAATGGATTAAACCTCTAGGCCATGCCGCTCGGTAAATACCTACTAGAGCATCCCACATCCTTAACTGTTTCTGAACGACATTCTAATCTAGGCCTCCTCAATTACTGTTTCTGCTACTAATATGTCTCTAACTAACCCTTCATGCCTGAGATTTTGTCTATTTCGAATTGACTTCCATAGTTTCAAGGTAAAATAAAATGAAACAATTACAGGTAGACGAATGCTAAAACTAAATCTGCAACTGAAACGTATAGCATATCCGAAGAAACGGGATCGTCATCATGTTAAGTTATAATTAATTAGGAAATTTGATCCTAATATCGTCACTGCCATATCGTTTGACAAAGTATTTCCAGGAAGATAGAATCATTACGTTAAACGTTATCAAAATGGGTATTCTCTATTCTCGTAATTAGTAACAGACGTGAGTTTGACGTGTCTTCGTTAAACTGCGCAAAACGCGTTCTCTGGACTGTAACGCTTTCAGCTTTGAGGCGTGCAAACTGCTGTGGTATCGAATCCAATGATACTTTCAAATTAATAGAATTATTGGAAAAAAGCTGTATTATGGGGCGACCAAATAGCTTCGATTGTAGTTTGATCATCAATCAGTCAGTATCTATGCAGATGTGAAACATCATAACTGAAAGGAAATAGTTGATGGAATGAAGCCCGATATGGAGAATGTTAAACAAAAAATGATAAATAGATAAATGATTCGATAAGTTGATGGCTTTATAATGAGATCGACTTTTAAAGATTGTGGTTATTCAGTAAGGCTGAATTCTCTTCAAACAAAGAGGACGATTTTTAATTTGAATGATCCATGAACTAAAGAAATCAATAGTGAAATAGTACTAGATTTCACTTTCCTACAATTCACTAAAGAAATAGCTTAATCCCTTGAAGAACAGCGCAAATACCTAGCGGCAAACTGCATGTCATTCCTTCCTAATGTTCTTTGCTTCTATCTTTTGCGCCGTTCTCTTGAAATCTCATATCTTTCTCAAAGAAAAAAACAAAAATATGAAAGCGGCATTCCGATACGATACGACAAATCGCGTGCTATCGCACTGTGTTAAAGTGGCCTTAATTTGTACCTGATGAAACTACGGGATAGTAGTGCTATATTTTATTCCATTTTTTCTTTGCTTTTAACTTTTAATCTTTTATACGTAGTAAAATTACAGATGTTTATGTTTTGTATTTGATTTTGCTTCGACTCTGCCGCTACATCGTTTTACTTTTATTCAAATTCCAATTTCAGATTTTTTTTATCTCATATTTAGTAGGAGAACACAAGAATAAGAAGAGCAATAATTAATAAACAATTGCTTTAATCATTTTTTATTATTACCTATACATTGCTTTTACAATTTTTGTAACAGCGATGAGTTTGAAATTTATTACTTAACTAGAAAGTCGTTTTGCTTCATTGTACTGTTTAATGAAAAATATATATATATATAAATAATACTTGTCCTTAAAACTTACTTTTATCTATACAACATTCAGAATCTTTATTGCACACCGACCTCACTTATCGTCTATTAAATATGTATCACAGATTATAACGAAGTGATTGTTCACTTGTTCTTCCAGTCTTCTTTGATCATATCTGCGCCCTTCTCGGCTATCATGAATGTTGGTGCATTCGTATGGGCGGCAGGAATAACAGGTATAATGGACGCGTCTATTACCCTAAGTCCTTTGACCCCATAAACCCTTAGTCTGGGATCAACCACGGCACTCTTGTCGTTCTTCGGTCCCATTTTACATGTTCCGCTTTGATGATAAATGGTGAACGTGAAATGACGTGCCATACATTCCCAGTAAGCATCTGTACCGAAGCCCATTTTTTCGCATTTGGGGATGGGTTTGGCGTGCACACGGGTACCCATGGCTTGCAAGGCGGGCTGTTTAGTGACATTCAAAATCAGCTTTACTCCTTCGACAATCGTGTCCATGTCTTCCCTTTCGGCAAAGTAGTTAGGAAATATTAAAGGTTTTGACAAGTAGTTTTTGTCCTTGAGAATTATTCTTCCTTTACTTTTCGGACGCAGAAGCATGGGGAAGACCATGAACGATTCGCTTCCGACTATGGGTTTATATACTTCGTTATAAATGTTTTCGTCTATCCCGAAATCTCTTCTCAGAAGGGGGTCTGACACTAAGGATCCTGCTTGGTACAGCAACTCAATATCGGGATATCCGTCTGGATTAGTAGGATCTTTGGTGTCATGGAAACTTAAGACTTCGCAACCTCCAGGCAAAGAAAGAGGACCGTCATGGTAGTAGAAGTATTTCATCAGGGTATCTCGCTCTATTAGTTTGTTGGTTGTGATGGAATAGGGTTTGTCAATCATAAACGTTAGTCCTCCTACTGCTATATGATCCATGAGATTATAACCAACTTTGAGGTTCTTGAGAACGGGGATGCCCAATTGCTTTAAATGCCTTTTTGGTCCGATACCTGACAGCATTAATAATTGAGGACTGTTTATTGCGCCGGCTGATAGAATAACTTCTTTGCGAGCCCTAACAATTTGTTTTACGCCGTTTCGTACAAACTCAACCCCATACGCACGCATGGATTTTGGATCTATAAGAACTTTAGTTACCATTGCTATTTTTTTCACATGGAAATTTCGTCGGTTTTTAATGGGGTGTAGATAGGCTCTGCTGGCACTGGCTCTTGTTCCATTTTTCATGGACACTTGAAGATATGATGTTCCAATCTGGGTAGCTCCATTGTAGTCCACAAATTTAGCACCGTTTTGGATTTCCGCTTGTAATACAGCTTCAGCAATTTTGGTCCGGTATGGTGCAAAACCAACTGTAAGGTAGCCGCCGCTGGAATGGTATTTTGTGTCGTTAAACTCTGGGATGGTAAAATCTTCGACTTTTTTAAAATAGGGTAAAACATCTTTGAACGACCAGCCCGTGTTTCCCAAGTTCGCCCAGTTGTCGTAGTCTCGGTAATTACCACGAGTGTAAATCATGTAATTGAGAACACTCGAACCCCCGATTACCTTGCCTCGAGGCCAGTTGCATTGATGGTTCTCCATGCCCATGCAGTAGTTACCACTTGGCGCCGTTTTGTACTTCCAGTTGGAGTCGGTGAATTGAAGATAGTTGGCCAGAAGAGGCAAATCCATAATGTAGTTTTCTGATCGACCTGTAAAAATGATATTCACGAAACTGGGTAAAATGCATTACAGAATTGGTGAAAAACAAAAATAATTCATATGTTGTTCTGTTTGTTCTTTTAATTTTTATTGATTTACCTGCTTCAATCAGCAAGACTTTCCAATCTGGATTTTCGCTTAAACGGTTTGCTACCACACATCCAGCAGTTCCCGATCCAACAACTATAAAATCATATTCGGGCAGTATATTTCGAACATCCGGAGGTTCTGCGGTATCTTGTTCCTCTCCTTCCAAAATGTAATTTAGCAACGATCCAAAAAGAGATTGTGCATACAAGGGCGTGAAGAAAAAGAATATTACAATTCTTTGGAGAGCTCTCATCTCTGGTATTGGCGCTGAAACAAAAATTAATTGTTAAGGACTAATTGGCCTCGCTATTTCTCAAATAATTTTTAGTTACGTAATACTAAAAAAATTATGCGTATGAGTGTAAGACGTAGATGGATAGAAAAGGTGGAAAATAAGGAGGCATTAGAGAGAATAGGAGATGAGAGGGTGCAATAGTATTTAATAAAAAGTATTGTCAAACATGGAGGGCTAGTTAGATACATATTAGAAGCAGAAACAGAAGTTAAGAGCGGTAAAGGCAGACTTAGATCAGATTAACATTGGTAAATACAATAGTTGAAGATGTGAGCTACTCTAGTTTTCGAAAAATGTGAAGATTTTGCCAAGAGAGATATCAGTTTTGTCCTTAGGTGATGAGGAATAATACTAACTACAACAAACGATAAGCATAGTCAGATTTTATAAAAGAAATTAATAATTGTTGCTTTCATTTAACGATAGAACGTACAAACAGCTGTCCTCTTGGAAGCATTTCTGGAAGTAGGTACTTTTGTACAGAGGAATTAGTGCTACTATAAAGATTCTTGCTCGCCAATGCATGTCGTTTCACTAGAACAGGAGTCTCGTGTAATTTAAGGTGGGATCAGGATGTTTTTTTTTTTAATGAAGGTCCAAAAAAAACATTCCTTCCTCCAACAAATAATAAGGGTGACATTCAAAGCTCAANCTGAAAGAGGGTAGCAGCTCTTTCAGTACTCAAGGTGGCAGAGATCACAAGGTCGGTATGGCACTCTGATGTATAATATTGCGATGTGGAAGGCAACAAGAAACCACCACATTAAGATCCCTAGTAAACCGTATGTTAAAATTTAAATGATGACGTCCTCTGGGGTAAAGCACTCCGGATGTAAACTAGTCCTCCATTCGGATGTCCGGGCGGGGACTACCTCGGGGGGATGCGGAGCGTGGAATGTTAGGACAATGAGGCAAGTAGGAAAATTAGAAAATTTATAGTTAAGGATGTGGGTTGTTCTAGTTTTAGGGAAATGCGAAGATTAGTTCAGGATAGGAAAGAGTAGAGCTGCGTGTCCAACCAGTCTTAGGACTGACGATAATTAATAATTTTTGGCGGCTCCTTTTTTTTACCTTCCGCGGTCTGGACTTGGACCGTGGTCAGCCAGTTACCTACCGTTGCACTACGGATTCCAATTTAATATTCGAAATTTTTATCTGTTTTTTTATCTATTTTTACTGTTATCGTTTTCTAAGTCAAAATAAAACGCGTGGACCGGCGTGCCTATTATTTTAACTGATAAATTATGCGAATTTTGACAGGCTTTAACTTTTGAACCTATTGTTACACAGGCCTGCAGCAAAATATACGTCGGAAATTTATCGAAAAGAGTGATCACAAAATTAGGCAGTTCTCAAATTTTGTTTGAAACTAAGGTTAAATGATTATTATTAATGATGAGAGTATACTGAAAACAAAATTTCAAGATGAGCACATGTTTGATTTGTGAGATGTCACAAATTGAAGTTGTGAAATGCGTGATGCGATATAGGATCACATAAAAAATATACAGTTTCAAAAAACAGAAATATTGATAATGTAAAAGCTGAATTTGTATTCATTGATTATTTCTAAAGAATCAAAACTATCCACAGAAATTCCGGTAATTGGCAAAAATCTTAAATTCTTTAAGTTTGATAAATTAAAAATAACATAAATCTGGTACGACTTACTTTACAAAAACAGTTAACTAGAAGGTAAAAAACTACCCCTTACCTTGATTAAAAATATGAACCGAGGAAAAACAGTTGAATGCAACTTAAATGGCATTCTGATAACAGTGTATTTGGATCTGCTCGTATCTCAGAAACAAAACATGCTCATGATGAAATTTTGTGTTTAAAATGTCCTCCACATCAATAAATAATTATTTCGTATTTAGTTTAAAACAAAATTTGGGTGATTTTTGCAATCGCTCCTTCTAAAGGACTTTCGGTCCCATCTAAAGGACTCAAAAGCATAAAAAACGTAATTTCTAAAGCATCTACTCAGTCTAGCCGTTTTCGTCCTGCTGGAAGGACGATATACGTTCTGTTTAGTAATGTTAAGCTTCAGTATGGTGAACTACCTTATGTGTATGAATTTGATGAGCATATTAATAATGGCGAATTTAATTACAACAAAATCTTACCCTGTATTGATTAATTTAATCATTATCATCCGCGATATCTTCCATAATAATAAATAACTGTATTTCATTACTAATTTTATTAAAGAGAAAACTGAACTTTATTTTTTCGCAAAGGTTTTCAATGATTCATCTTCTCTAATACCTAAATCCGACTGCAAAACACCTCCTTGATTAGTTCTTATTATTAGTAGTATTAATGGTGGGTGGATAATCATTTGATAGTTTTGGTTGTTTCATACTTGCTAATAGGCATACCTATTGTTCTACAGTCGTAGACAAATGTTTATTTTGATTAAAAAAACGCCCACGGTTAGCATCTACATTAAGAAATTTTATAGAGCTTGATTTTTTCTATTACTAATTGACAACAACATTCCGTCTCGTATACGGTAATGATGAAGATCAAGACAATTTTATTCTCTTTATTAAATCAATAAGTTGGTTGAACCAAAAAAAAAGATTTTTACTTCTACTTGTCTCAGAAAAAGATAGTGGGGAAAAATTATTGCTACCCCATTAAAAATTATTGGATAAATGAACTTTATTATTAATAAACAAGAAAAATACAACAAAAATACGACACGCTACTGAAGTGAAACTTTTTCAAACACATAGGGGTTAAGGAATTGGTTTAATGGTATTATTTGTACACCATGCTTCGCACGGGTGCAATGCTGATGGTAAATATACTATAGAGTGTCTTTATATACAACAATCACAGCTTTTTTGTCATTAGACAATACAAACCGGCCGGTACCGCCGCAACCGCTATGTCCTTGCATTTTAAGTCTGTAATATCTTCGAAAATATTCATTTAAATTACATGCTGTAAAGGACCATATTGATCTATATTAAATGCACAATGTATTTAAAAGTACTTAACTGGATAAGGATTAATGCTGTATTGCTTAAAATCGCTTCGTAAATAAGCCATTATTTCTCGTAAAAAGTAAAGGATAAAAAATGGTTATTGTGGGTTATCCCTAAGTGATAGACATATACATTCGCGGAGTTTTTTTGAAGACCTTTTTAAGGTGTACAATACTGTAGTATATTATTTTAATCTGTCTCGTGGGGTTCAGCCAGCGTTTGCAATGTCAGCGCAAAAAATGTGTTTATTTACAACATCACACTACAAACTTCTAAAATTATCAGTGTTTCTCTACTATATTATGCATGTATTATACATATAAACCTTCCTCTTGAATTACTCTATCTATTAAAAAAAAACCGCATCAAAATCCGTTGCGTAGTTTTTATGATTTAAGCATACATAGGGACAGACAGCGGGAAAGCGACTTTGTTTTATACTATNTACTCTATCTATTAAAAAAAAACCGCATTAAAATCCGTTGGGTAGTTTTAAAAATCTAAGCATACGTAGGGACAGACAGCGGAGGAAATGCGTTGCATGATTTCGTTACATAGCAACTCGCATGAAACGAACTTACCCTACCGTGCGTAAAGAAGTTTCACTTCAAAAAAATACGAAATTGAATGAGAAACATATTTCTAAATATTTGGCATCGCGTGAATTTCACTTCAAAAAACAATAGCTTCTGCGGTTTGTGTTTTTCTTTCGTTTAACATTAATTGAATAGAAGAATATTTAATGTGTATGCGGATTTTAAAACACATACAAAGCGTGCATTGCTTTTAATATTAATGATTCCTATATTTTTCGTTCGGATTCATACCTACAACTGATTACTGATAGTCTGCGTTGGTATTCTGACGATAGTCGAAATTGTCTACGTGATCTGTGTTTATTGCATATTATTGCATAGCTATTAAGCATTTAAATGACCCGTAAAGTTAATTTTAAGAAAAGTGAATGCCCGTTTTGGGTCAATGAAAGGCTTTTAGTCCTTTTCCTAAACAGAATTTTTCGCATTCACTTATACGTTACGTCTGAACTTAAATCAAAAAAAAAATCGCCAATATGTTGATTGCTTTGATAAACAATTTATGTAGGTATCTGATTTAGTAATCTGCTACAGTTAATAGTTTGTCGATAATATCGGTTTATATTTGTTTCGCAAGAATTATCAGTAAATTACTGGATATTGTTATTAGTTTCTATAAAATTGTTTCTTCTAAATTTAATTGACGTATACAGTGGTAATTTCTTCTTAATTCAAATGAGGAAGTCGTTTCACCATAACCTAACTTATTAGTCCAGTAAAATTAGGTTTTTATGTCCTTAGATTTGCAGATGATAAAGCAGTATTAGCATCTATCAAGGAGGAGTTAGAGATATTTTTAAATAAAACAGAAGCGGTATTGACAAAACAGTATTGTATGAAAATAAATAAAAGTAAAACTAAAATACTGGTATGCAAGGGAAGAAAAAGTAGGGACGGTGGGCGCGGCGGAAAAGAAAAGGTTAGAACAGTTCTAAATGTGGTGTTACAGGCGAATGATGAGGGTACCGTGGATAGAAAAGGTTAGAAATGAGGAGGTGTTAGAAAGAACAGGAGAACAGAGGATTCTATGGAAGTCAATCAAAACTGGCGAGACAAATTGCTAAGACACCTTTTCAGGTATGAAGGTCTAGTCAAAGACATATTAGAGGCAGAAACAGGAGTTAATAGGAGTAGAGGTAGATCTATATTAGATTGTGAAGTATGTGGGATGTTCTAGTTTTAAGGAAATTCGAAGATTAGCTCAGGATAGGAAGGAGTGGAGGTGCGTGTCCAAGCAGTCTTAGGACTGACGACCTTATGATGATAATGATGTCATCGTCTTTTTTTAATGAGTTTATTTTGGTGTTAAAAAAATATGAAAAATGAAACACGAAATCGCCATCGCATAAATTTTTTTTTAAAATTAAAGTTCATAGT